GTTCGAATTCTCTGAGTATACACCCGGAGGTGGAATTCCTAGGTCATATGGTGATGCTAACTTTAGTTTTCTGAGGAGCCGCCATACTGGTTTCCATAGCAACTGCCCGTTTGACATTCCTCCTAGCAAAGCAAAAGGCTTCCGTTGCCTCCACAACCTTGCCAACACTTGTTATTTTCTGTTTTTAAGTCACTGAGGTTTTGATTTGCTTCTCCTTGAAGATTAGTGATGTTGAGCATTGTTTATGCGCTTATGGGGCCCTGCCTGTCTCCTTCGGAAGGCTGTGTGTTTCTTCAAGCACTTTGCCCATTTTGAAAAGCAAGTTGTTTGTTTTGTTCTTGTTGAGCTGGAGTTCTTTTTCTTTATTGTGCAGGTGTCAGTTCGTTTTCTGTGCTAACTCACAGGCCGGGTTAATTATGGAGAAAAGACATTGACTTCGCTGTTCCTGGAGGTTCAAGATCCAAGTGTAGTGGTGGTCTGGCCAGCAGTCCTGAGGCTGTGCCAGGAGATACAAGGCAAGAGCTGGGGGACACAGGCCAGCGCTGTGGCACAGTGGGTTAAAGCCCTAGCCTGCAGCACCCACATCCCATGTGGTCACCGTTTGGAGTCCTGACTGCTCCACTTCTAATCCTGCTCTCTGCTGATGCACCTGGGAGAGCAGTGGAGAATGGCCCAAGTCCTTGGGCCTCTGCAGCCATGTGGGAGACCTGGAAGAAGCTCCTGGCATTTGGGGAAAGAGCCAGCAGATGTTCATTCCCTAATTGGCCGCATTGGCCAGAGCTGCATTGATCTGAAGCCAGGAGCCAGGAGCTTCTCCCAGGTCTCCCACGTGGGTGCAGGGACCCAAGGACTTGGGTCATCTTCTATTGCTTTCCCAGGCCATAGCAGAGAGCTGGATTGGAAGTGGAGCAGCCAGGACTTGAACTGGCGCCCATATGGGATGCCAGCACTGTAGGCGGTGGCTTTACCCACAGTGGCAGTCCCCCGTGGTTGCCTTTTCACTCTGCTGTAGCGTCCCTTGATGCTGCATCCTCCCTTTCTACGCAATTTTTTACATTTATTTGAGAGGCAGAGAGCTGGAGAGAGAGAGAGGTTTCCCTCTGCTAGCTCACTCCCCAAATGCCCACAGTGGCCAAGACTGGGCCAGGGTAAAGCTGGGAGCCAGGAACTCAAGCCAGGGCTCCCAGTGGGGGTTAAGAACCCAAGTACTTGAGCTATCTGGGTCCACATTAGCAGAGAGCTGGAAGGAGGAGCCAGAGCCGGGCATCGAACCCTGGCACTCAGATGTGGGACCAGGGCGTCTTAACCACCAGGCTAGGGGCCCGCCACTCCCTTTCAAGGACCAGCTATTTCCTTCAAGGGTAAAATCCCCTGAGTCATGTGTGTGGCCATTCTGTTTTCAGAATGACTGGGAAGTCTAACCGCAGAAAAGCCTGACTTGCCAGACTCTTCCTCAATTTCACTTCCTAAGGAAAATACGGGGTTACACAACGTGGGCTCGAGGGACCCGACTGCAGCGGAGAGTGAGGCGTTGTGGACAGTCACACGATCTGTAACCACAGCCGTGACAACCGCCAGGCTTACTTGTGCCCCCCTTCGAAGCAATTCTGTGTCCTCAGAACCATTTCTTGCGGCGACAGTACTGGTGACGGTACCGTCAACTCGCAGACCCGGCGAGGTGAAGTCATCTCGCAGACCCAGCGGAAGTGGTGGGGTCAGAACGTGCACCCTAGCAATGTGGCCTCTGAGGCCGTTGCATTGCCCTGTGACCCTGGGCAGGTTTGGGACGCTGAATAACCTGAATTCAGACTGAAATGACTTGTGAGTTGTGATCACAAAGCTGTTAGTAATCTGAGAGGAATGCAAAGTATAAAGGAGACTTGACCACCTGCAGTGTGAAAGGGGCTGTGCCAGGTGCAGGTGGGGATGGGGGAAGCTTCCAGGGAACTGTGGGTGGGAGCGCAGACGGGCGGCCTTCCGGAAGCCCCTTGGCAGTCTGAGAAGTAAGCAATCTGTCAGATCAAATGCCCAGTGCTGTGGCATAGCAGGTAAAGCTGCCACCTGTGACACCAGCATCCCATATGGGTGCCTGTTCAAATCCCATCTGCTCCACTTCCGATCCAGCTCTCTGCTCATAGTCTGGGGAAAGCAGCGGAGGATGGCACCCGTGTGAGAAACCTGAAAGAAACTTGAACTAGCCCTGGGCATTGCGGCCATCTGGGAAATGAACCAGCGGATGGAAGACCTCTCCCCAACCCTGCCTCTCCTCTCTCTGTGTAATTGCGACTTTCAAGTAAAATAAATAAATCTTTAAAAAATAATAAGAGTGGGAATAAGAGGGGGAGGAGATGTACAGTTCAGCACATGCTCACTCGGACTTGTAGGAGCCAAGGGAGAGAGCCATATGGATATGTGGGACAAAACAGACCAGGCAGGGGAAGAGTCATTTCTCCCCATAGATTCTTGGGAGGAGGAAGTGAGGTCAAGTTCCTCTCGCACAGTCATTGGACAGCAAATGTTGAGTGGCTCCCCCCCACCCCTGTTTCTCCACCTACAGAGATGAGGATGCAGGTGACCACGAAGAGCACCTCTAGGCCCCGTGACAATGACCATCTGGTTTCTGAGTTCTTTAAAGCGCTGTGTTCACTGCACCCAACACCTGCAGTAGTGCCCCCTCCAGCTGACCACAAAGCCAGAGCCCAGGACAGAGTCATGGCTGCTGGGGACTCAGCCTCAGGGCAGCACAAGAGACCTCAAAGAAGAAGCTAGAAACAGCAAGGAGGAGGCCCCACGCCAGTGAGCACCAGAACTGTGCCCAGAGAGGCGTGGGCAAGGGTACAGTCACCTTCAGAGTGGAGAGAAGGGAAGGTCCCAGGCCTGCTTAGGCAGACCTGGGTTTGGCTATTATTCTGCCACTTACTAGCTCTTTTACCTTTTAAGTCATTAAAGCAGGGTTTGGGTGTGGAGCAGTGGCTTTGGTCACTTCTGGGGATGACTGCATCCCATAATGGAGTGCCTGGTTCCAGCCCTGGCTGCTCCACTTCTGAACCAGCTTCCTGCTAATGTAGTCCCTGGGAGAAACAAAAGATGGCTCAAGAAGTTCGATTCCTGCCACCTACATGGGGAATCCAGATTGAGTTTCAGGCTCCTGGCTTCAGTCTGGCACAGTCTTGGCTATTGCAGGCATCTGGGAGAGTGAACCAGCAAATGAAAGATGTCTGTCTGTTTCTTGTCTCTGTTTTTCTCCATGTGTGTGTGTGTGTCTGTCTTTCAAGTAAAAAAAGAAAAGAAAATCACTGAACCCTCTGAGTCTCAGTTTCCCCACCAGTGAAATGGATGTGAAAATACCTATTTTGTAGGGAAGCTGTGAGGGCTCAGTGAGATAAGACATGAAAGTGGCAAATAGCTGGGGTTCAACAAAAAGTTGGCTCCCTTCCCTCTGTTACTTGTACCTGGGAGGGAGCCGCTGTGTCTCATTAAGTCAGCCCAGGCTGTCACTTGTGTTATCCCTTAGTGTGGGAGGGTAGGAGACTCCAGTGAGATAACTGATACAACTGTACTTGGCATAGTTACTGCATTAAATAGGAACTCCATGGGCATTTGCTTTATGTGAATGGAAGGGTGGGTGGATGAATATGGATGAATGGAAGGGTGGCTGGCTGGTTGGATGGGTAGATGGGTGGATGGATGGATGGATGGATGGATAGGTGGGTGGAAAGATTTTTTGCTGGCAGGATGATCTACACAAACACAAGCTTCGTTAAGAGTGGGAATTTACCAGGTTTTATTATCTCCTTCTGCGGCCTCAGAGCTGAGCACAGATAACACAGAGGTGAGTTACACCAGGCCTGAACGTGCTCAGTTGTGGGCTGCCGTGACCTACACTTGCCGCTCTGTGTCTAGGACTTACTCGGTGAGGCCATGTCTCGCCTGAGCCAAGGTTCTCCGATTGAGATCCGTGGTAGCTCCCTGAGGCGAAGGCTGCAACCAGGTGAGGCTCCCCCCAACCCCGTGAATGGAGGAAGCCTTGGAAATTCTAATCAGTGGTGTCTCATGAAAGAATTCAGCTCAGCTTTCCCCGCTGTGAAAATTCAGAGCAGCCCCGGCTACGATCACTGAGCCCCTCTGAGCCCCGAGTTCCCCTCAGTGAAATGACGGGATTGTTCCCTCCCAGCTCCAGAATGTTCTGATCCTCTGAGAAGCCCCTATATGCCTTGAAAACAGGACAGAGAACTTTGGAAGAGCGCATATAAATGCCTTTCCCTCGTGTCCCTATACAGCCTCCTTCAACCCTCCTGAAATAAACGCACGGGCTGGCGTTGTGGCACGGGGTGGTTAAGCTATGCTTGGAACACGGGCATCCCATATCCGAGGGCCACTTTGAGTTCTGGCTGCTCCACTTTCAGTGCAGCTTCCTGCTAGGGTGCCTGGGAAGGCAGCAGAAATGGCCCCAGGACCTGAGTCCCTGCCATCCATGTGGATTTCCAGGCTTCTGGCTTCAGTCTGGTCCAATCCCAGCCTTCAAGGCCAATGGAGGAGCGCACCACAGTATGAAAGATCTCTCACTCTTCCTGTCTTTCTCTGTCACTGTGCCTTTCAAATAAATATTCAAAAAAGTAAATAAACGCACATATGTTGATGTCTGCTTATGCTGTACTCTGGGGAAGCTGTACACTTTGGAGACAGGCGGATCTCAATTCCAGGCTGTGTGTGAGATCTAGTTCCTGCCCCAGGAGAGAGAAGACAGACATTGAAGTGGGTAAGCCTCAGTAATCACAGGCGGCTGACAACAGGAGGAGTCCTAGGTCACGTGAGAGAGGAGCGGAGCCTCTGAGGTCACAGAGGAGCACTGGGACTATGAGACGTCGGCAGGACTGAAGCCTGGTAGGCCACTTAACACACCCCTCCCCCTCTTAGGAGCGGGGTGGGGGGGACGGGACTGCCTGGGCATTGTAGCAACCTCCATGGGAGAAGCAAGGGGGAAATCATGAGTTACCATCTCAGAACGCTCACTTTCTCTTTATTGAGCACTTCCTGAATACAAGCCCCACGCACTTGATATGCATTGCAGCCAGTTCCCAAAGGGCACAAGTCACTGGGGCAGAGCAGGTGAACCTCACGGGAACACAAAGTGACTTTTTTGCCCACCACGGCCACATTTTGATGCTTCTCCTCACCTCTTGGTGGCAGGTGGCATTAGCTTACGTAAAAAGGAAGGGCCGGGGATACACAAAGGATTGGAATTCAGTGCTTACTGCATCCCCCACTCTTGGTTGCAAGTCTGACACCCACCAAACCAGCTTTAGCAAAACAGGGAGAAGGTGTCCTGATTGGGGACCTTCACACGGCCCAAAGCAGAGTGCGACTGAGATGCACCTGGAGGAAGAGAAGCGGGGAGGGGCCGCGCCCTCTCCCTGCCGGTCACCCATGGGTTCACTGGTCTCCGCCTTGCTAGGCACAGCACCCTGGGCAGAGTCATCTTCTGTCCTCCATTCCTGCATATGCTGCCCCCAACACACACACACACACACACGTACACATACACACAGCTCGGAGTTTAACACAGGGGACCCTCAAAGCCCGGAGCAGGCATCCCTGAGCCTAGGCACCGCCTGAGATCTTCCCACTCCTGTTGGGGATGCAGGGAGCTAAATCATCAGGAGAGGAGAATACCCGGAACACACAGTCACCTTGACCTGGAGGTGTCTGCCTTAGCACACACTGTCCAAAAAGGTTTTACCTTACCCATAACACCCTTGAGAGGTAGGATATTCAGCTTGCTGGTCCTTCAGTGAAAGTGACAAAGCTAAGACTTGAGCCCCCAGGTCTGTGTGGCACCAAAGCGCCACAGCGCTGCACTAGTCATCTGGTCACCCTCCGCTGAGCCCAGCCCACAGCTGCCATCCCAGACCCCAGCAGGCAGTCATCAATGGAGCCAGGAAGCCAGCCTCCCAGCTCCCCGGGGACACTGGCTGCGAGGGAAGCAGACGCTCAGGAGAACAGAGCTCCTCCCACCCCTGAGTCTCAGCTGCAGGTTCTGCTTCAGGTACTGGTCTCAGGGTGTGAGTGGTCTCAGGGTGGGAAAGCAGGCTCATTGGAACATATTTGCTGCAAATCCTAAGCAGACTTCGAGATTCTTGAGAGAAGCTCACACCTGCCAGTGCTTGGGACTGTACCACCCTCCCACCTCGTGGAAACTAGGCTAGGGGGGCTTCCCAGAGAGTGTGGTGGGGAAGGGCTCAGGCGCTATCCAGCCCAAGAGCCTACTCCCAGGGAAACTTCTGGACATTGAGTGTCCTGGCCAATTATTCTTTGAGAGGCCTTTGCCCACCCACTACTGTATCTGCTGCTGAGACACAAAGATCGAGGAGGTGGTGGTGCTGTCTCTGCTATGCCTCCAGAGCTAACCCAGGCCAGCGGTTAGAGAGAGAGACACGTGCCTCAGGAAGCAGATCCACGTCCTGTTGGTCTACGGGTGCTTTGTCTTCTCGGTCACCATCCAGGACAGGCTGCTGGTTCCACCAAGCCACTTGCCCTGGGAAGCGTCACAAAGAGCTGTGCCCATGGGTGGAGAGGAGGTGGCACCACCCCAGCTCAAAAGCCTGCCCCACTGATACTGCCACACAGTCAGGGGGAGTCCCTTTCCCAAACCCCCTCTCTGCCTGTAGCACTTGGGAGTAGTTGCCCAGTGCTTTAGGCTGGGTGAATGGGATGGCTCGAAGTCTGCCCCCAAGGTCTGCACCTGACCCTGACCTTCTTCCTTGCTGCATCTGACCCACAGGATCAGGAGGAAGTCGCCGGCCACAGTTATTACAGGAAGTGCCCCCAGAGGTAGGTGATGGGGTTCATTCAAATTCTGCACCCGCATCCCTGCCTGGGTGATACAGCCTCTGCACCCAATGGGCCACGGGTGCCCAGGGAGGAGGTGCCCTGATGTCCCGTCTCTCCCAGCTCAGCCCGTCCCATCCGTGATGTCCGTGGAGGACAAAGCTTTGGGCCTGGCCTCAACCAGCAGGAGTCAGTTTTTGAGGGCCTTGGCAGGGACCTGGCTGAGCGGCACGATCGCTTCGGTGCCGGTCTCCATGGTGACACGGGAGCACTGCCGGCTGTTGCGCATGCTGTAGATCTTCTCCGTGAGGTGCTTGCGGAACTTCTTGGTGAGGAAGCAGTAGATGACAGGGTCTAGGACACAGTTGGTGCTAAGGAGGCAGAGGGTGACTTGGTGTGCATCATTAATAGCCTGGTGGAAGTCCGTGTTCCGGAAACCCAGCTCTGCCAGGGTCCAGGGCAGCTGCACCACGTGGTGGGGCACGAAGCAGATGATGAACACGGCCAGGACCGTGCAGACCATCCACAGCGCCCGGCGCTTGACCTCCGCGTTGCGGGGCTGCTGCACCGGCTGCGTCAGCAGCGTGCGGATGATGACCAGGTTGCAGATGAGGATGATGAGGAAGACGATGAAGAAGCTGGCCACGATGAAGATGTGGATGAGGAGGACTGGCATGCTGCCCTTCTCGTAGTGCTCAAAGCAGCGGGTGACGTTGCCCGAGCCCGCCTTGTCGGCCACAATGTTGGTGGAGTCCAGGATGAGGAAGTAGGTCGCGGCGGCCGAGATGGACACCCAGATGACCAGAGACAAAGCGATGCCACGCTTGCGGGTGGTGGCCTGAGCAGTCTGGATGGGCTGGGTCACCGCCTGGAAGCGGTTGTATGTGATGACGCCCAGGAAAGCCACAGAGCAGTAGGTGTTGATGAAGAAGAGACAGCCGGCCAGATTGCACAGGAATTTGGGCAGGATCCAGTTGCCCTGGTTGTGGTAGTAGATGATCCACAGTGGCAAGGTGATCAGGAAAAGCAGGTCCGCCACGGTGAGGTTCACCATGAAGATCTTGATCTCGTTGAGTTTCTTGGAAGGGTACAGGTGGGCAAAGACCCATAGCACGTAGCCATTGGCAACAACCCCCAGCACAAAGATGATGCTGTAAACAATTGGGAAGAGGGTGTATCGGAACTCAGAATCTACCCGGGAGGAATTGTGTGGCTCCATCTCTCAGGACTGGAAGGGTCACTGGTCATCGGGTCCTGGCTATGCCTGGAAGACCAGAGGAGGATTCTGGTTAATAAAGAGCCAAGAAGGGACTGTCCTAGCCCATCAATTCCAGGACGGCCTGCTGTGGTGTGAATGATGCTGTCGCCTCCAAAATTCATGCTGAAACTTTGTGCTCCATGCAACAACAAGAAATGTGACCTTCGAGAGGTGGAGAGCGCAGAGGCCTCAGGAACAGGACTGGTACTTCCTCTCTCTCTCTCTCTCTCTCTCTCTCTCTCTCTTCTTTAATATTTATTTATTTGAGAGGCAGAGTTACAGAAAGAGAGAGGGAGAGACAGAGAGAGAGGTCTTCCATTCACTGATTCACCAAATGGCCACCACGGCCAGAGCTGGGCCAATCCAAAACCAGGGGCCAGGAGTTTCTTCTGGGTCTCCTACACGGGTGCAGAGGCCCAAGCACTTGGGCCATCTCCACTGCTTTCCTAGACACATTAGCAGAGAGCTGGATCAGAAGTGGAAGAAGCCAGGACACGAACCAGCACCCATATGAGCTGCCGGCACTGCATGCAGAGGCTTTACCCGCCATGCCACGGTGCCGGCCCCTGGTACTTTCATAAAAGGGTTCAAGAGTGAAGGGAATATTCTTTCACCCTCTTTGCCCTTCTAGCCATCTGCCAGGTGAGGGCACACACTCAGGGGGCCATCCTGAGGAGCAGGCACCCAACCTAGCGGGTAAGTTGTTGCTTGAGATACCCACATTCTAGATGAGAGTGCCTGGTGTTGAGTTCTAGCTCCACTTCCAACTCCAGCTGCGTGCTGATGTGCACCCTAGGAAGGACCGGGTGACGGCTCAGGTAGTTATGTCTGTGAACCATGTGGCAGATGCTGAGGGGTTCCTGGCCAGGATGGGCATTTGGGGAATGAACCAGCAGGTGTCCATCTGTCTCTCTGCATCTCTGAATTAATTAATTAACTTTAAAAATGCTATCTTGGGCCAGCGCCGCCATAGCTCAATAGGCTAGTCCCAGTCAGGGCACCGGATTCTGTCCTGGTTGCCCCTCTTCCAGGGGCCTGGTTGCCCAGGAGTGCAGTGGAGGATGGCCCAAGTGCTTGGGCCCTGCACCCACATGGGAGACCAGGAGAAGCACCTGGCTCCTGGCTTCGGATCAGCGCGGTGCACCGGCCGCAGTGGCCATTGTGGGGTGAACCAATGGAAAAGGAAGAAAGGAAGACCTTTCTCTCTGTCTCTCTCTCTCTCTCTCTCACTGTCCACTCTGCCTGTCAAAAAAAAAATGCCATCTTGCAAGGTGTGCATTTGGCACAGTGCTTTAGATGCACCTTGGGGTGCTCTCACCCCATATGGAAATGCCTAAGGATGAGTCCCTGTTCTGATGCCAGCTGCCTGCTCATGCACGTCCTGGGAGACAGCAAGTGATGGCTCAAGAACTGGGTCCCTGCTATTCCAGAGAGAGACCCAGAAAGAGCTCCCAGCTCTTGGCTTTGGCTTGGCTCAACCCCAGCTCTTGCAGGCATTTGTGAAATAAATGGGAGTAGATGGGAGATCTCTATCTACCTATCTCTGTATGTCTCTTTGCCTTTCAGGTAAACAAAATATATAATTTTTAAAAATATTTACTTATTTATTTGGAAGACAGAGTCACGGAGAGAAAGAGAGAGATAGAGATCTTCCATCCAGTAGTTCACTCCCAAAATGGCTGCAAAGGTCAGGACTGGACCAGGCTAAATCGAGGAGCCAGGCACTCCACCCTGGTCTGTCATGTGCATGGCTGGAGCTCAGGTACTTGGGCCATCTTCCACTGCTTTCCTGGGCTCACTAGAAAGGAGCAGGATCACAAGTGGGACAGCCAGGTCTCAAACTGGCTCTCATATGGATATTGGCATTGCAGGTAGCACCTTGTCCAACTGTGTCACAGTGCCAACCCCTAAATAAAATTTTAAATGTCATCTTGAAAGCAGACGGCCAAGCCTCACGAGACACTAGACCTGCCAGGATCTTCACCTTAAACTTCCAGCCTCCAGAACTATGAGGAAACACATTTATGCTCTTTATAAATTAGCCAGCCTCATGTATTTTGTTGTAGCAGTACTAACAGACTGAGACATCCCCATTTTGCATACTCCCAAAACTCTAAAATCGATGTCATCTTCCAACCAATTGGCAGCACTTTTTCTCTATATAAAATAACAGTGTATTTTTATGATGAATAACATCTGATATTCAGTGAATCAATGACATTCAGTTTCTTTTATTCCTTTTTAAAATACAAAGCATTTTCTTGAGGCTGGCGCTGTGGCGCACTGGGTTAACGCCCTGGCCTGAAACACCGACATCCCATATGGGTGCCAGTTCAAGACCTGGCTGCTCCACTTCCGATCCAGCTCTCTGCTATGGCCTGGGAAAGCAGTAGAGGATGGCCCAAGTGTTTGGGCCCCTGCACCCACGAGGGAGACCTGGAAGAAGTGCCTGGCTCCTGGCTTCAGATTGGCACAGCTCTGGCCATTGTGGCCATTTGGGGAGTGAATCAGCTGATGGAAGACTTCTCTCTCTCTCTGTCTCTCCTCTCTCTCTGTGTAACTCTGACTTTCAAATAAATAAATAAATCTTTTTAAAAAAAGCTTTTTCTTTTGGCTTATTTCAGATAATCTATTTCTAAAGATAAAATATGTAACTTCATATTATAAAAAACATTTAACTTTCGGATAAAATCTGAGTATTTCCTATTGACGGGATTTGCAATAAACATTTTGGCAGTGGGGCAAGTGTTTGGCGCAGTGGTCCAGGAGGTGCCTGGCACCCTCTCAGAATCCTGAGGTTTGAGTCCTGACTGCTTCCAATTCCGGCCTCCTGCTTGTGCACACCAGGGAGACACAGATGATGGCTCAAACACTTGGTACTTGGGTCACTGCCACCCACATAGGAGATATGGATGGAGTTCCCAGTTTCTGGCTTTGGCCAGGCCCAGCCCTGGCTCTTGTAGACATTTGAGGAATAAATGAGTAGATAGGAGTGTCCTCCTTCTCTCCCTCTCTCTGTCTCTGCCTTTCAAATAAGTAAAATAAAATTTTTCAAAAGGAATTTAAAGTTTTTTATGATAAAATATTCCATATTTAAAAATAAACAATAAGCTATATGTTCATAAAAAGTCTGGAAGATACAGAGAAGTATAATATTAGAGTGCCCCAGAGAATGAAAAACATGAAGCAGTCATTAAAAAGAATGAGAGGGGCCGGTACGGTAGCACAGCAGGTTAAGCCACTGCCTACAACACCAGCATCCCATATGGGCGCCAGTTCAAGTCCTGGCTGCTCCACTTCTGAGCCATCTCCCTGCTAATGCACCTGGGAAAGCAGCGGAGGATGGCCCAAGTGTTTCGGCACCCCCACCCACAGGAAACCCAGATGAAGCTCCTGGCTCTTGGCTTGGGTCTGGCCCAGACCTGGCCATTGAGGCCATTTAGGAAGTGAGCCAGTAGATAGAAAACTTCTCTTTCTGCCTCTGTCTCTCCTTCTTTGTAACTTTGCCTTTCAAATAAAGAAATAAATCTTAAAAAAAAAAAAAAAAAAAGAAAAAAGAAGAAAAAGAAAGAAAGAATGAGAGGGCTCATCGCTGTGGTACAGCAGGTTGGGCCTCCACCTGAGACACCTATATCCTCTATGGAACCAGTTGGAGTCCCAGCTGCTCCAATTCTGATCAAGCTCCCTGCTACAGCACCTGGAAAAGCAGTGGAAGATGGCCCAAATGGGAGACCCTGATAGGGTTCCTGGCTCCTGGCCTCCATCTGGCCCAGCCCTAGCTGTTTCAGCCATTTTGAGAGTGAACTGGCAGATGGAAGATTTCTCTCTTTCTCTGTAACTGTCTTTCAAATAAATAAATCTTAAAAAAAAGAAGGAGAAGAAGAAAAGAACCAGGAGTGGGAGCGAGGAAGACAGCCATGACCAGCACCTCTTATTTATTTTTATTTATTTAAAAGGCAGAGAGAGAGAGAGAGAGAATCTTGCATTCACTGTTTCACACCCCATTGTCTGAAACAGCTGGGGCAGCGCCCAGCCAAGGCCAGGCCTGGAACTCAATCCCACTCTCCCAGGTGGAAGGCAGGGACGCAGGCATTTGTGCCAACACCCGCTGCCTCCTAGGTTGGGTATCTCGCACATAGCAGGAAGCTGGAGTTGGGAGTGGAGACAGGCTTGAATCCAGGCAGTCCTCTAGGGGATGGGGGCATCCCAGAGGTGTCTTGGCTGCTCCATCGCCCTCCTGCCCTTCAAGACCCTCCTGACGGGCGGATGCTCACCCTTCCAGCTCTTTCTTGCCTCACTCCCCTTCAGCTTTCAGCTGTAGCCAAACCAAACTCCTCACGTCCTGTGGAACCCGGTGTGTCTCCGAGACATCCTGGCCCCTGCCCAGGCCGGGAGTTCCTGCTCCGCCAAGCACTTCTCACTGGGCTGTTTCGGAATCACACAACACAGTTCATGAGCTGACCAAGGGCAGGACGGGTGGGTACTCAGAGGCCTCAGAACGCTGCTCCAGCCCGGAGCCACGAGTGCTCATCCAACGAATGTGTGAGTGACCAATCGAATGGGTGAATTGGGCTCAACTATGCGTGTGCTTGATCACAGGATGAGAAGATTTCTTTTAAAATGAATAAATAGGGGCCGGCACGTGGCGTAGCAGGTAAAGCTGCCGCTTGCAGCACCAGTATCCCATATGGGCACCAGTTCGAGTCCTGGCTGCTCCACTTCCGATCTAGCTCTCTGCTATGGTCTGGGAAAGCAGTAGCAGATGGCCCAAGTCTTTGGGCTCCTGCAAGTCCTTGGGCTGCTCCTGTGTGCAGAAGCTCCTGGCTCCTGGCTTTAGATCAGCGCAGCTCCGGCTGTTGCGGCCAACTGGGGAGTGAACCAGTGGATGGAAGACCTCTCTCTTTCTCTCTCTGCCTCTGCCTCCCTGTAACTTTGCTTTTCAAATAAATAAATAAATCTTTAACCAATCAATCAATCAATCAACTGGGGCTGGCATTGTGGCCTAG